CAGTGATAATAGGCATCCTTGTCTCACCTCTGATTTTATTGAATAGGACTCAAGTTTATCACTATTACATATAATGCTGGCTCTTGGTTTTAGATATATGCTATTTATCATGTTAAGGAATGGTCAAGTTTTTCCCATGTTTTCTCATGTTTTTAATGGAAATAGGTATTTTATTTTGTCAAATGTTTCTCTTGCATTAATTGATCATGATTTTTATGGGTCTTGTTATTAGTATAGTTAATTAAGTTTACAGTTTTCCTAATATTAAACTAACTCTACATTCCTGGTATAAATTCAACCTGGAATAGTATATAATCTTTGTTATATCTTTTGTTAGCTTCTTTGCTAGTATTTTACTTAAAATGTTTGTATCAATGTTTATTAGGGATATTGGTCTATATTCTTTTTTTCTGTTTTGACTCTTCCAAGTTTATGTATCAAGACTGTGTCATAGAAAGAATTTGGTAGGATTCCTACTTTTGCTATTTACACAGACAATTTATGTAATATTGGAATTAATTGTTTTTTGAATGCTCGATAGAATTCACTTGTGAAACCATCTGATCCTGGAGTTTTTTTCTTTGGGAATTCCTTTGTGATTTATTAAATTTCATCCACTGAAATTAGTTTGTTTCAATTCTCTATTTATTGGTCTATTAATATGAATATCTTATTTTTGTAAATATTTTATTCAAGTTGTTGACTTTATTGGCATATAGTTGGGATTCTCATACTCTATTATTTTTTGTTATGAATTCTTATTTTTCATTTTTTGGTACTGGTTACCTGGTTTTCCTCTCTTCTTTTTAATCAAATTAGTTTATGGTTTATTTATTTTATTTTAAAAGCTCCTAGTTTTATTTATTAGGTCAATTTTTTGCCTTTAATTTCACTAAATCTCTCCTGTGATTTTTATGATTTCTATTTTGTCATTTGATTGGGTTTTTAAAATTAGTTTCAAAGAGTCAGACATGACTGAATGACTGAATAACAACAATGGTTGGTTGTTTCTCTAGTTTTTTAGTTATAGTACCTAGTTCATTTATCTCTTTTTTTTTTCTGTAAATGAAAATGGTCGGAGAAATAAAGACCTAGATAATTGGAGAAATATTAATTGTCCATTGGTAGGCTGAACCAATATAAAAAAATACAGTGCTACTTAAAGTAACTTAGTCATTCAATATCATGCCAATCAAACTATCAAAGGATTACTTTATAGAAGTAGAAAAACTAATAACAATATTCATATAGAGGCAAAAAGTTCAAAAATCTCAAGGGAAATAATGAAAAAAATGGAACAGATTGAAGTGAGGCTAACAATACTAAAATTTTCTTATAAAGCAGCAATTCTCAAAATGACTTAGTACTGGTAAAAATAAATAAATCAATGGAAAAATTTAGGTACACAATATACAGAAGCAAACACACCTAGTAGCTCAATGTTCAAGAAACATAAAGACTATAGCTATAGGGATAAGGACTCACTAATTAATGAAAACTTGGACAGCAGTATGGAAAAAGTTAGGTTTAAAACAATATCTCCCATGTCATACCAAGATAAGGTCAAAATTGGTTATGTGAACTAGAAGTAAAAGGTCACATTATAAACAAATTAGAGAAACAAGGAAGAAATTGCCTATCAGATTTATGCATAGAGAAAGAATTAATGACCAAACACAGGAAGGGATCACAGAAGACAAAAATGGATGATTTTTGATGACATAAAATTAATTTTTTTTTAACAAACAAATCCTGTACAGTTAAGATTAAAAGAGAAACAATTCGCTGGGGAAAATTCTTTGTAGGAAGTTCCTCTGATAAAGGTCTTCTTCCCAAGATATATAAGGAATTGATTTAAATTTATAAAAATAAGAGCCATTCCTCAGTTGACAAATTGTTTAAAGATATGAACAGGCAGTTCTCCAAGAAACCCAGGATATCTACAGCCATATGAAGAAAAAATGCTCCAAATGACTAATAATTAAAGAAATGCAGTGCAATTTCTCTGGCTCTGTAGAATTGGAAGAACAACTTATACAATAACATCAATATTATGAAAATGGACAATTTTGAAAGGCTTGAGAACTCTGATCAACTAAATGGTCCATTATAATTTCAGAGGACTGATAAAGAAGAATGCCTTCCATGTCATGACAGAGAGAAGATGGATTAATATACAGAATAAGAAATGCCTACGTGACTAAGAAAGAGACTAAGAAAGTCCCACATGACTAGTGTGGGAATATGTTTAGGTGCACTGTGCTTATGTGATATAGGGATTTTGCATTTCTCCTTTCATTTGTTCCTTCCTTCATTCCTTCCTCCCTTCCTCCTTTTCTTTGTCCCTCCCTCCCTCCTTCTTTCCCTCCCTCCCTCCCTCCCTTTCTCCCTTCCTTCCTTCCTTCCTTTCCTCCTTCCTTCCTAATGGATGGGTAGATAGGGGGAGGCAAGAGGGAAAGATGAATGCTTGATAATTGAAAAATAAAATTAAAATATTAAAAAATACATAGACTGTGTGATTACTGCTAGGACACTACTGATACACCAAGGACTTGAAGGACACTGATTCAGGTCATGGGGGGGTGAATCGATCCACAGGTTTGCTAAACAATATGAATATCAAGTCTAGACAGCTTGCCAAATATTTGTGACTACCAATCTGTCAAAAATAATGAGGATGTTGTTGCCACGTGTCCTAGGAATCCGAAGTAATCAGAAATATGTGTCTGCAGACTTCACTTCACCTCAGCCAGGTTAACAGCTGAGTAGTTTAGATTATAGTTTTAAAGAGTGAATGTGAATTTCATACACATATATGTGTATCTGTATTAATAATTTCTCTCTCTACATGTATGGAGGTGTGTGTATATACATACATATATATATGTATATATGTATATATCTCATTGCTGCTCATTTGTCCAACAACAATGTCATCAATAGCTATCTGGATAATCTACCATCCTCTGCACAAAGGAGACTGCTGCAAGAGAAGGAAGGAAAAACATTCTTAGAATTCCTACTCACAACATGGTACATAGTGACCGTTGCTTTATAAATGGGAACAGTGAGAGCTGTCAAATACAGAGATGTGTTGGGGTAGACTTGGGCCTTTGCTTGCCCCTGTGGAAACCAGGAAGTACTCAGGTTAGACTGAACTCTTCTCTGAGCTCATTTCTCTATGACTGTCAATGAACAATTCTGTCCAGAGCACAGGGAGTGACTGCACCACCCTCCAGGGTTTCCTCAAACATAGGAAGCCAAGGCCTAATGTGTATTAACTTTAGTCTCCTGTCTCTCCTCATCTGGATAGACACCTGGCTCAGTGTATTACAAGAATGTGCTGAACAAAATATCTGAAGGGGCAGAAAAGGAATTCTTTTTAAAAATGGGGTTCATCTCCATGTAATATAAACCAAAGTCACCCTTTTGTTCACATATTTATTGTATATTATACTAATATTTAATGTATAAATACTTGTTTGAAAAACAATATGGCCTTTTGGAATTTTTAATTCAGAAGACCTGGGAGGCTATTTCAGGAGTGCAAAGTACTTAGAAAGCATTTGACTTATTATAGAAAGAAGTCTAGAGTTGCATATGACAAGGAAAGAAATGATCACTGCTATAGAGAGGGAGATATGAATGAAATATGTCAAGAATGAGGAGACAAAATTTTCATTTACACTGGTAAAATGAAGTATAGAGCTGGATTTGGCTACTTTGATAAGTGTAATCAGCTGGATAATTCAGACCTAAATTCAGCCAGTTCCACAATGGAAATATCTGAGACCTAAATTAATTGGGTAATGGCCTCAGTTTCTCCACTTCATTTAATATTTTTAGAGAGGGCAGAAGGATTCACTGGGGTTTTTCTGTAGCTAGAGAGACAACAGGGTGCTAAGTAAATAGTCACTGACAAGGCACAGGGTGAACAAGAAGACTCAGCCTGGAGGTTATGTTTGACAAAAGGGATGAGTTTGTTCTCTTGCATTTTATCTGGGCAGAAATAAGTGTAGAGCTACTGTAAGAAATATATATATTCCTCAAAATTTTTCATTTGTGAAATCTACATTAGGCCTTATTTGGGGGAATGTTTTTAAAAAATTGAACTCCTGTTCCTGCCCTAGCAGCCTTTAAACCCTTTCCTTCCTTCCTACATATTCCCTAATCAAGTTGTGGACTGCCTTACAGCATAGTTTTTCTTACCAAGATGGTGGTAAACACCTGTTCCCACTGATAGACCATAAACCAGAAATTCAGTGAGATGAAACAGAAATTAAACCTATTAAACAGATTTTTCTAATCAATTGAAAGCAGCTTGTGAGTTGGTGAGGATCATCCCCCAAACGTCATTTTGCCACTGTGCAAGTACATCATTGATGAGAAGTAGGAAATATGTTTAGCCAGTTTAGTGAGTATCTTTGGTCTTGCTTGAATTATTGTTGTGTTTTTGACCTATGAGGCTTAGTGTTCAGTTTCTTATTAATTTTAAGTGGGAGTGTGCCCACTAAAAAACAACCAAACATTTTATAACTTAACAAGGAAAATCAATGGGAAAGAAGAGGTCATTTGTTTGACACTATTTGAATACAATTGCTGAAAGTACCATTTCATTTTCATTTCTATCACTGGCTAATAAAACATATAAATCAAAATCACTGAAATATTAAAATGATTATAAAGTAATATGATCACTTTGTGAAGGAAATTCAGGATCATAACTCTTAGCCACTTCAGTCTCACTGCATCTTTCTAGGAACTGATTTTCTACTGATACAGGCATCACTCAGGGGACCCTAGTATTCAGCCCTATCCCTAAGTATGCTGCAGCACAATGCTCCAGATTGCCTTGCTTTGTAAATCCCCCACTTTGTTCATGACTTTGTCTTCTGAAATGCCCATTCCCACATCCTTGGTAAAATTAGGGCAATGCCAAGAGAAAGGGTAGAAATGAAGGCAAGTGACAGAATGCTTGCAGAATTACTCAGCAAGAATACCTGGGATGCTCTCCAGTTTTCTTCTGAGTTCCTCATTTTCTTGTTGTAGTGAAATGACTTCCTGTTCCAGCTCTTGGCACCGAGGGCAGTACCCTTCTTCCTCTTCTTCCTCTTCTGGGAGTGTAGAAGATGATGGATGGCCATGAGATTCAGAAGTGGCTGGGGAGGTCCATCCACCTAAAGTATGAACTGGGGAGGTTGAAAGAGGGTCCACATCTGCCAGATGGCTGTAATCATTTACGGATGATGTGTTCTGAGATGGAAAGCTCCCAGAAAGCAGATAATTTTGTAGGGAATCTGTAAAAACCCTCAAGAAGGCAGAGGTTTGCTGTTTCTTTTGCATATATTGCATCTCAATGTCTAAATTGTCTGATGTCTGACTATGGACAATTTTTCCAATCTGACACTGTTCTTGTCTTTCACTATAACTCGAACCTTCCTGCTTTACACAAGAAATCATGGATTGAGAATGGCTGGAGTCCAAAAGTTTTCCTCCACAGTTTAAAAGGCTAAGAACCCGACTGCACTGCTGGGCAAAGGCATCCAGGATCATACGGCTCTCTGAAATAAATAAAAAGATATATCACAGAGATCCACAGCAAAAAGTCTTTAGAGGGATAGGGGAATGCCCACAACTCTTTAAAGTTTAATATTTAAACAACAACAACAGCAACAGTATTTATTATGGTCTCTTTTATATATCAAGAGAATATGTTACCCACCACTGGGGGGATGTGCTATTGACTTTTTACTCACTAGTCATCATGGCTTACACTGAACTATCAAATTCATCTGAATTCGACAATCTTTTAAAAGCACCTACTGTGTAAAGAACAATGTACAAGGCACTGGGGGAGAGAAATAGTTTAGATAAGATAAAATCTCTTCCAAAATAAAGCTTACAGTATAATAAAGAGATAACACACACAGAGACAACTATAACACAAAATCATATGTTACAAGTACATTACAGAGAAACAATCAATCAGCACAAAGTTATTAAGTGCCTACTACGTGCTAGGCACAGTGCTAGGTGCTAGGAATACAAAACTGAAAAATGAAATAATGTCTGGAAAAGAATCTAGAGGTTATTTAACCAGCCATCTCATTTTACAGATGAGGAAACTGAGTTCCACAAAGCCCTTTGGAGTCTGCTGCATTCTGTGACCTGCTATTCCTGAGGCTTAGCTATTTAGAGCCCAGAAAATTTTGTTTCCCCAATGTTGTCGCTCCCTTTAATTCTATCACAAAGAGATAAGGTATAGAATGCCTCTTTAGGGTAGTTTGTCACCTCGTGCACACATTTTAGTTACATTTTCTGTCCTTCTGGACTGGGGGTACAGGTCAAAGATCGGCTTCCCTACATTAGGATTTCTCATGGTTAGTGTGACTTAATGGACAGAATTTGGTGAACTTCATTTGTGAGTCAGTATGATACAGTAGAAACACCTTTGGATTTGGAGTCAGAGAGCCGGGTTCAAATCCTGGCTCAGCTACTTTGACTTGTACAATAGTTGGTAAGTCAATTTCTCATCAGGCATCAGCTTCCTCACCTGCAAGATGAAGAAACTGGACTAGATGACCTCTAATATTCCTGGTAATTCTAAATCTATGATCCTACATGCGACTTGCTCATTGTCACATGGGTAAAAAGAGGTATAACAAAGATTCACATCTATTCTGACTCTTAATCCAAAGCTGTTTCAATGTGTTTCCTAGAGGGCAAAACAATGGCAGGAAAGAACATTCATAACTGGGGAGATGAACGATGGAGGAAGTGGACTTTAAATGATGGATAAGCATTCAACAGACGAAGAGAGGGAGAAGGATGTTCAGACTCTGCATAACAGGCAAAGGAGATTGAAGTTTACTTAATAAATAATATGGATTTTTCAGCAGTGTAGTGACATGACCAAGGTGTGTGTGTGTGTGTGTGTGTGTGTGTGTGTGTGTGTGTGTATGTGTGATTTAGGCTGGGAGAAGCATGGAGGATACCTTAAAGTCGAGAGAGAATGGAGGAAGAAAGATATCAGGAGGTTATTGAAATGATTTGGGGGCAATGGTGGTGGTTGTGATAATGAAGGTTACTATTAGGATGGTGACAGTAGGAATGGCAATGGAGACAGATATAAGAGATATTATGGTTGAATCAACCAGACATGAAAATTGATTGAATATGAGAGGTGGAGAGAAGGAAGTGTCAAAGATAACCCTGAGGTTTCTAACATGGAAACTGGGTAAATTGTGGTGCTACTGATAGAATCAGTAATGTCAGAAAGAGGAGAAAGTAACAAGGGAAAATGGTACATGCTGTTTTGGAAAAGTTGAGTTTAGGACACCATGTAGGTAAATATTCCCCTACACAATAGGATATACAGGTTTGTTGTTGTTTGTCCTTCATTCTCAAAGAGGACCATGACATGAGGGAGATTATGGCATGACATGTAAGTGAGGGAGGGCTGTGCAAAGTCACCAGCCTTACTTTCTCCTCCAGAACCATCCGTGTCCACTGGCAAGATATAGATCAGGACTAATGGAGATACCCTGGATGCAGTAGGAGACCTTAGCCTTCTTAAGCTGAGGTGTTTAACAGGTCTCAGTTTTACTGAGGCAATGCCCATTCAATGATTAAGGCTAGATAAGAAATGAGGCAGAGATGTACAGGTTTAGCGCTTAAGAAAAAAATCAGAAGTAAATATCCAGATTTGGGAATAATCTTTGAAGAAGCAGTCATTGAACCTGGATCAAGGTGGTGCGGTAGATAAGATTACTAAGAGAGGGAGACTGGAGAGAGAGAGAGAGAGAGAGAGAGAGAGAGAGAGAGAGAGAGAGAGAGAGAGAGAGAGAGAGAGAGAGAGAGGGAAGAGAAAAGGGCCAAGGACAGAACCTTTGGGAACACCACTCACATTACACAGCTGAGAAGAAAAGATAGAAAAGATGTACCTAGTTAGAATGGCAAAGTGTGATGTGTCAGGTCAAGGGTTAAGAAAGAATCCAAAATGATGACATAGTCAGTAGCATCAAATGTAGCCAAGAGCTCATGAGGAATGAGAACTGAAGAAAAGGCCACTGGATTTGGAGATTTGATGTGTGATTGCCACTTTCTCACCCATAGCCCTTATGACTACAGACAAGCATTTACAAAATGTCTGGGTATGTTCTGGGGTACATATCATTGATATGGACCACAGTTTCTCTTTCTGTGAGGCTAAGTGAAGTCCCAATTAGAGCAAATAATAGATCCCCCTGAAATGGTTGCATTATTTGAATTAACCCAGTATATTTCCAGTGACTATAACCAATCACCATATTTCATATAACTTTGAGTAGTGTGAATTTGAATACTTTCCTCTACTTCAGGGGATTTATTATTTGCACTAATGGGGATGTAGCTATATATGGGTCTGCTTGCTGTTCCCTCACACATGAAACTCCATCTCATGTTTCCAGTCCTTTACATTGGCAGCATGTAACATTTAGCTCAAGCCCTGCCTCCTCCAGGAGGCTTTTCCTGGGGGTTCTTCCTTCCTTCCATCAATTCTCACCCCCTCCCCAACCCTTCCCCTCTAATGCTACCTTCCGTCCATTCTGTATTTACCTTTTGTGTACTGATTTATGTAAATGTTGTTTCTCCTATTAGAATATAAACTCTTTGAGGACACACACTAGTTTTTGCTTTTTTCTTTGTACCTCCAGCACTAAGCATGGCATCTAGCATCTAGCTAGGTAGCATTTATGGTTTAAGGCACTTTAAGGTTTGCAAAGCACTTTACCAACATTATCTCATTTTATATTTGCAATAATTTACAATACACCTGGGAGTAGTTGCTATCATTAGCTCTATTTTACAGATGAGGAAACGGAGGCAGACAGAGATTAAGTGACTTACCCAGGGTCACATAGCTAGTTAGTGTTTGAAGCCAGATTAGAACTCAGAGTTTCCTGACTCCAAGTCTTACCCTCTATCCACTGTGGCACCATTGGCACAGAAGTGCTTAATCAATGCTTGTTGATTGATTGAATGTGTGATCCATATGCATCTGACCTCATATACTTGGCTTTACTAAATCATGTTCTGATGGATTGAGTTAACTAGTATAGACAAGATTCTACAATGATATTAATATCTGAAACCATCATGACTTCTATTCCTGGAATATCCCCAAGTTTTTTGTACAGCTCATCCAAAGAATCTCTACCTCATCTAATGCGTTCTTCCTCAGTCATAAACTACAAAAAGAAAGATGTACTTTTTGAAAAACTCACTGTACTTATAAGGTGAATTAAAAGGTAACTTTACAAGCCAGTGGACAGCCCCAATGCAACATTATATGTTCAATCTAGTGTTTTCGTCTTTTCTGATTTTTGTTTTTTTTCTGTCACTATTCAAGGCCAATGTATAGCTGAGCAACATCACCATTATTTGGAGGTTACCTAAAATACTATTTCCTAAAAAACATTTTCCACTGAAAACATTAATTGACTAAAACATCACAGGTGTCAAAATTAAGCATATAATTTCAGACTATTTTGTCATATCAGTTAAAAACACACATGAGAGTACATACAATCAGAAAAACTAATCAGTTGGAAAAAAATCAGTAAAAACCTTTTAGTGGCATTGTGAATATATAGCTTAACTTTCTGGGAGTCTACAGATCTGAAACTCCCTCCAAATCTATAATTTCATGAGCATGAAATCATAAACTATATTACCTTCTCTCCTGGCTTCCAGCCAGAATAATATCCAGAAACAAACAGAAAAAATGCTTAAACCTGATTGGTTTAAAAAAAAAGGCAGAAACCAACAACTGTGTGATACTAATACAGGTTAGGTGACCTGCATACCACTGATTATTGCTTCTCTTTAAAGACGTTATATCCATTGCCATCTTTGATTATCTATGAATAGTCATCTGGGAAGAAATCTTGAGATTTCTTCTCCATCCCCACCACCTCTTCCATTCCCGAAACATACTTCTTATTCACAAATAAGAGTAAGGTGAAACGCATTTTATTAAGTCAACTATGCAGTAGTTCAAGAAACGTAGATATATGAGAATAGCCACCTCCAGACCTACACTAACTTTTGACTGTGCTCATTTTATTTTATTTTATTTTATTTTACTTTGTTTTATTTTATTTTATTTTATTTTTTGGTGAGGCAATTGGGGTTGTGACTTGCCCAGGGTCGCACAGCTAGTAATTGTCAAGTGTCTGGTCTGAGGCCGCATTTGAACTCAGGTCCCCCTGACTCCAGGTCCAGTGTTCTATCCACTGTGCCACCTAGCTGCCCCTGTGTGCTTGTTTTATAATGTACATAAGGCATTGTGGGGTTATTAGCAGAATCTATCAAATACTCCTGGTTATTTACTTTCCTTTAAAATGGCACACATTGAAATGTATAGACCAATTAATTCTCTTTGTTTTGATGGGGACTATAGGCTGATATAAACCAATAGTCCATGCCCTTTTTAGGTTTACACATGGGAGGGAGAATATCTCACTCAAGTTTCTTCTCTGCTCCTCTCTATTTGCCCTTGTGATTCTGGGACTGCATA